GGTATCCGTTCATTCGGATATCCTTAAAACTCAACAAGTTTCTTGTTGATTTTGGAGAGAATAATGCATTATTCACTATAAATTTTGTACCACCCATCATAAAAAAATATGGCCTTTCCAAACCCCTCAATTATTTTTGCACTTCCTGATATTGTGTGCACTTTCGTTTTATTTACTTCTAATTGAACAAAATATTTTATGTCTTTAAGTATAGTGTGGGTAGTTGCACAATCTGCAAGACATATATCTCCATTTTGGATTTGTGATTGTTCCATGATCTAAAATAAGAAAAATGAAAAATATTATTGATCAATTTCCGAATACATATAACAATGTTTCAAACAGTATTACAATCACACGCAATAAATAAAAACAAACATGATAATCATTTATTCTTCATTATTTGCAGTTGCTTCCCCAAACACTGCATCATTAAAATCCATTCTTAGCATGTCATCGAAATTATAATTATCATCTTCACGTACTGTATCATTTCCGGAAGATTCCCCCACCATAAAATTAGTGTCAATATTCTTCTCTTTTGCTTTCTAGGAATCCTGATATCTTTCAACAACGTGCGGTGGGGCTCGACAATTTTGAGCCCAATGGTTATTTCTCCCACATCGATAACATGTCTTTTCATTGTTATTTTTCACAACTTTTTCTTCCCCTTTATTATTTTCAGAATTTTTCTGAAAATTTCTCCCCTTTTCATAATTTTGGGCATCGTTTTTTCCATGTCCACGATAATTATCTCGGCCAGATTTGTATCCTGGGTAAAAATTTCGGCCTCGTCCATAATTTCTATCTGGACCATATCCACGACCACGTCTACGGCCACGACCACGACCTGAGTTATATTCACGTCCATAATTATGGTTGTTTTCATTTCTGGGTCCCTGTTTAGATATTACAGCATTTACCTCAGGGACCGCAGTAGACCCCATGGGTCTAGATTCATGATTTTTCATCAAAAGCTGATTATTTTGTTCAGCCAACAACAAACAAGAAATTAGCTCAGAATAATTTTCAAAGTCTTTTGCTCGTATTGTTGTTGCAAAAGTACCATGGATGCGTGGAATGTGGACAATGTTTTTTCCAACATATCATAGTCAGTTACCGTTTCCCCACATAATTTCAGCACTGAGCAAATTCGAAACATTGTTGAATTATATTCGCTTACTGTTTTAAAATCTTGGAAACGTAACGACATCCATTCATGACGTGCCCGGGGGAGAATAATTGTTTTTTGATGATCATATCTGTCTTTCAATGCTTTCCAAAGATCTGCTGGATCTTTGATAGTTAAATATTTATTTTTCAATCCCTCATTCATATGATGCCTTATAAAAATCATGGCTTTTGCTTTTTCTTGCAGGGATGAATCATTTGGGGAAATTATTGTTTTTCCCAATCCCATGGCATCTAAATGAATTTCAGCATCCAATGTCCATGAAATATAGTTTTTCCCAGATATGTCAAGTGCTTCAAACTCGAGCTTTACCAGATTCGACATGATAACTATAAAATAAAACATCAATGCTTAGATTTAATAACAAAAAAAAAATTACATATATAATCACTAATTGTCCACAACGTACAGAAGAACAAATAAGAAACACATTATACAAAGACCTAATACATAAAATATAAATTCAGCGGTATGATACATCATCGTGAAAATTTCCAAAGCGTATATAATAAATAATATAATGGTAATTATAAATAGTAGATGAAACATTTTTTTTTTTCGTTTGAGGAGAATATATTTTAGTATTTGGAATGAATGTTAATATATGAAGTGTAGTGTTATATATATATATATAGATTGATAAATAGTCGTTGCAATATAGCCGTTAAGTAGTCGTTGGAAATAAATTAATGATATAATATTTGTTAATTAATCATACATGATTATAAAATTCTAACTAATAATGTATACTATCTTAAAAATTCTCTGAGTCACTTTGTGAACAATTTAGTGAATATAAGTAACAAAACAAATAAAAATGTCACTCCACACTACTCGATAAATCTTTCGGTGGATACAAGAATAAGCAGTTATAATTTTCACGCCACATTATTGGGTAAACCATTTTGTGGGTGTTAAGTATAATAATATTATGTACATCTATTTAACTTGAAGTTATTTTCTCATAATCAATAGTAATTCATAAATAATTTTAATAATATCATCTTATCACATATTATTAACTATGGCATAGCCTTACTTGCCAATAATAATGGTAATATGTAAATAATGTCATATTCATAATACCACATATCCTTAGAGCATCTGAAATGCTCAAATGTTGTTGTGGTAAACTACATTCCACATCAACATATTTAGCAATGACACAACTTTTCATCCTCCAATGTACATTGTGATTATAAATGTTGTGATGATGTGGACATAATTAATGTCTACAATGTAGAGAAGAATGTGGTTCATCTACATTCTCCTCCATATTCTAGCTAGCCAATGAAAAGAAGAGAGAGATTATTCTTACCAATTCCGAACTATTTAATTATTTATTTAATATTTTTACTACATATTATAAAATATTAATATTTGGTAAGTAGATAATATTATAGTTAGACTACATTGTGCATTGGAGATAATTTTTTAATTTCGTAGTTGTAAAAATAATATTTTTCTACATGGTTCACATTCGACTTAATTTAATGACATTTGTCAGAATTTATTCAATAACAATATTAGAGCATTGGAGATTCTCTTAACTATGACAGAGCCTTACTTGTCAAGAATAATGGTAATATGTATATCAGTAAAATATACTAATTTTATGTAATATATATCCATACATATATAATTAGTATATTCCTACCTTTCTTGACCGGGTAGAGCGCTCGTGCTGATAACGTGTTATAAAAACGGGAAATATAACGAACACAAAATAGAAGCCGGATAGAAATTATACTGAATATTTTCTCTCTTCTTTCTTTCTTTTCAATGGTGTATCATTTCTCTACATTTGAGTGCCTTTTATAGGCAAAATTCTTCCACACATGCACACAAATAATGTACATCCATTATTCATACTCATACCCCATTTACTATTTACATTTAATCAAATAGTGAAATGTCACTATTTGTGCATAGTGGTTCATTCCACTTGCTAATATTATAACACATTTCCTATTGTAGATGTGATTTATAAGGTATGATATTTTTTTCAATCTTTCTTTTAAAATATATAAAATTTATTAACTTAAATTATAAATATATTTAGAATTTAATATTATTTTTTATATTTAGTTTATCAAATTAATCATGTATTGATGAACTTTGATTTGACATCTATAATATGCATGCAAAATAAATAAATAATTTTATTTATTTTTATAATTAAAACTACATTATTTATTATTATTAATTCAAATATATAAAATTATTTAAGCTAACTGAACTACAAAGTAGTTGTCTGATATAAACAATATCATTTTAAATATAAATAATAATATATTTTCTAAAAAAGTATATAAAGACTGAAACGAGTTTTGTTATTATTATTTAATTTTAAATATAATTTTCTTAACAAGGACTTGTATGGTAAAACGGATATGTACTAATTACAGTAATAATATTGGCACGAAATTTTAATAATCTAAATTTTTTTAATATGCCATATTCCTCAGAGCATCTCCAATGCTCTAATGTTGTTATAGAATAAACTATGACAAATGTCAATAAACTAAATAGATGTGAACCATACAGGCAAAATGTCAAGTTTACAACTATGAAATTAAAAAACCATCTCCAATGCATAATGTTGTCTAACTACAATATCATCTACTTACCAAATATTAAAATTTTAATAAGAAGTAAGAAAACTAATTAAATAATTAAATAGTTTAAAAATTGTAAGAATAATTCTCCCGTTTCTCTTCATTAGCTAGCTAGAGTGTGAAAGAAAATTTGAATGAACCACATTCTTCTCTACATGGTAGACATTACATTTATGATCACATTGTACATTAAAAAAATTATGATATTACTAAATACAGTAATGCTCACCTACTCACGGTGGACACATGTTAAAATGTCTACCGCTTATGTGGCATGCACACATTGGTGATGTTAATATATTAAAAAAAAATATATCACCAATATGTGCATGACACACAAGCGGTGACCATATTAACATGTGCCCACCGTGGTGGGCACATTAACATGTTAATATGTAACATAATTTCCACAACAACATTTAAACATTACATTTGCCTCATCCGAGTAGACATGGCCAAAAACCGGGCCGGGTCCCGCCGAGCCACCGGGTTGAGTTTCGACGACCCTGAACCGACACGGACCTAGGGTCGTGTCGGGTCCATGACCCGCCGGGCCCGACCCGGGTTTGTACCCGGCCACATAAAAAATTAAAAAAAAAAGAGAAAAACTTCAAAGGCAATGTATTTTTTTCGTACCGACACGGACATGGCCCGAACCCGACCCGACCCGCAGTGTCAAGGTCGAAAAAACATGAATCTTGACCGGCCCGTTTGAAATCCGTGCCGAGCCCGGACCCATGGTCAACGAGTTTGACCGGACCGGGTCCGTGTCGGTTCCGTGCCAAGTCCGGGCTGGGTCGGCGGGCCGGGTGATCCGTGGCCATTGCTACATCCGAGTGACAATTATTATGCACAACACGCGTTAAAACTCATTTCCTGGATCGCATACAAAGGTTTGTGACTGACGGGCAAATAGCGAACATATGATAAATCGCGGTCCGGAAAACGACAACCCTCTTGGCTGTGACGTGGGCCTCGGCCTCGGCCTCGGCCTCCTCACCTCGCATCGCCCTTCTCTATTCAGTGAATCCCCCATCTTTCCAAATTCTTGCTCTACATGCTTCTCCTCAATTTTTTCTCGTAACTTTTACAATTTCTTAAGAATGATTCAAAAAGCTTCGTAATTTATCTTTTCTTCAAGAAAATCGGGTTGTTTAATCACTATCCTCCTCTGCTAATTTTGCACAAGAATGGTGAACCCACGACAAGCTGATGATGATGAGGTGGATAATGCCGCAGCAGAATATAAAGCAATGGGAACACCTTCGAATGCAACATCTCAGGTTTTTCTATGAATATCTTATATACTTATTTTGTTGATAGGTGCTTTGGGTTGATGGGTCTTTCTTAATTTTTCCAATTTTTTTGAAGTTCTGTTGTTGAATGTAGAAAGATGTGTTCTTTGTGTCTTTTTAGGATGTTTTTGTTATTGGAGATAGTTTAGAGATTCATTGGTTCTTACTTTTCTGTAAGTTCTGTCTAGTTTTAAGGTTTAAAGCTTAGTCTTTGGAGAAAACCAGAAACAATGGAAACGAGGAAGATTGTTTTTTTTTTTTTGTTTTTTTTTTCCTTAATGCTTGTGAATAGAAATGTTTTGCAGGCTTTGTAACTTTGTTCAGTACTCTGAACTTTTTTTTTTTTTTTCGATTATCTGTTGAGGTTTTCTGTTATTTGGGGCTAATCCATGTTGGCAATTCACAATTGTTTGTACATCATATTGTATATTTTCAGTGTTTCATTCACCTAAGCACCTGTTGCTTTATTTTTTAAATCTTTGATCAGTGAGGTAACTGTTGTCAGTCGGATATCATTAGAGCTCAAACTTTTATTCACTTAATTAGATTGTTTTATCAATATTGTGAAGAGAATGAGAAAGATAGATGTTGCATCCCGTCTGATGTATGGCGAAATTTGTTTCAGGTTGCGTTAAATTGTCTGTTATTGATTTTAAGTTCAACATGAAACGCTGCTGCCTTGTATTTGAGACTGGATTTCTGTCTAGTTCATCAATATTTACAATGGGAGGACTTGTTTCACTCAATGTTTCTAGTTTTTCTAATTGCATTCTACTCAAGAATGCTACTACAGCATTTAATGACAGATTTTCATCTTAGTTTAGTGAATCCAAACTTTGTAATACAAAAAATCTCATGAAAGTTGAGGATCATTATTTCAATGCCTGTGTTCTTGATACCAAATATTTTAGTTCATTTGGTTCTTGCATCCCAGTCCCTCTAGGCTACTTGTTTCAAAACTTATTCATTTTTTCCTCATTCTTGTTATTACATTCCAGTCTTTTTCTTTCTCCGTTATTCGAACCACTCCTTATGGATCATAACAATTAACGACTTTATACTTATATTTCGTGCATTCAGACTAATCCAGACAACCGTGTGTCCCGGAATATGGCTGCAAATACCGGGCTGAGCCCTAGCACCAGACATTCAGACCTAACCCTTCAAATACCTCCAAGGCCTGCAGGTCTTTTAAGCAGCCGCAGTGGGAAAGGTTTCCTCCAATCTCCAGGAGTCTCGAATGGAAGTTTGTCTGCAGTCGGGTTCTTACGGGCTTTAAGCTTTAAAAGGGGGGGCAATGTGTCGGTGACCGAAAGGAGCTCTCTTCTAAATCGAGACCCAAGGACAGCTGCTGAAAGCCCGGCCGTCTCGAATAGTATAAATTGGAAAAGGTGTACTTCACTTCCGGTGACGCCCGCCTCAATTTTTTCCCCTTCAACTACAGCCCCATCCTCGATAAGGACTCACAGCGAAAGGCAAAGACCAAATGTAATTTCACATGTAATTTCACATTTTTTACTCTTTTACTTTCTGCAGCATCTTGTTTATTAGCCATTGTGCTTATTGGTAGACATTTCATGAAAAGCGGATGCCATTGTTGTTGTGATTGTTATTATTTACATATCTAGGGTTTATTAGAAAAACTACCTCGAGTTTCAGTATAATTTCTAAAGAAATGGAAAATGAAAGAGTAATGGTAACATCTTTTGAAATCACAAATGCTCCCTTACTTGAGTTTGTGAAGTAAATCCAAAGTCTAAACATTAAGGGTGTGTTTATAATTGATTAAGGAGCATTCGTTATGGTTGACGATAACTGTTTCTTTTTTCTTCTGTAATTAGGTTAAACCTTAGGGATAGGTTTTGTAGTAAACCCTTATGTAGTTATATGTTTATTCTGACTTTAAAGTTTGTTATCAATATGAAATGATTTTATTTGATGTTTCCTTTTCTCGATCTTTGACATTATGGAGATATGTGTGTCAATGTATGTTCATTTTGTGTTCTTATTATAATCTTTGGATACAATTTGGAACTATATTTTTTTTATATTTTCTCTACATGTCCATTCTCCCTCTCATTTGTCACTTTATGTTCTCTTTTATCAATATATTTTCTGTGTCTGTTTAAATTCGCCTCAGTGCACCATTTTTATTTCAGTTTCATGTTCTGTTTTTGCTTCACATTTTAGCTGATGTTGTAAACTACATAAGTTAAGTTTTCTCTATTCTATTGCATATTTTAGATTTTACTATTTATTTGAGCTTCATTTCCTTATTTGGAATTGCAAAATCTATTTACTTTCTTTTTATTTTTTCTTAAAATGAATAATCTGTTTAGCAAGGTTCAGTTAAGTGCCAAAGTTGTAAAATGATACTTTGTCCATAACCATTTGATATATTTTGTTGATTGGGTATGATCTAGCCATTAGCGTCATAGTTAACTTTGAGACACAATTACATATCATTAGGTAAGATCGACTCTCCTCTGAAAGAATTAGAATTTGTGTTAGTTATCTTTTGTGTTTTATTTAGAGAAATCACTGCTTCAGAAATTCATTATCTTTCAAATGACAAATATCCCGTACACATTTGCTTGTCTCTTTACAAATTGCAACTCAAGATGTGGCACTTGTTTAGGTAAATGCAAATTTTAATAGGGTGTTTGTTACATTCATGTGCTGAATCTACTGAGATCAAAGATATACGACTAAACTTTTGCCTGACTTTGGCAGACAAGTGCACCTCAACATACTGTTTCAAGGTCGCTATCTGTACCCGGGAGGAATATTTTTATCGTAAGATCTTCATCTTTTGTGTCCCGAGAAAATCATGCTCCAGATACTGATGGCGGTATGTACAATCTCGTATTACAACTGCACCGACTGTTATTCTGACGTTTGATCTGATGAAAATAAGTCTTTTCCCATTAAAAAAATACAAGATACCAGTGCACTCTTAAGGTGATATTTATGAGTTAAATACAAACTTATAGAGGATGCTTGCAATATCAAATAAAATTAGGATTTTTTTTTTTTTTTTTTTTTTTTTTTTTTTTTTTTTTTTTTTTTTTAAATTTTTGTAATGAAACTAAAACTCAGGGTCAGAGATAACAGTTACATTATCCAAACATATTAACTCAAATTCCTGTCTTTTATGGTTATCATTTGTTTTATCCTAGTCCATTTTTTAACAAATTTGTGCATATCGAACTTTGACACTCTCAATTAAAAAAATAAAAATAAAATATATATATAATAAAGAAAAACCTTTGACACTCTCAAATTGATTTTACGACAACATGCAGATCCAGCCCGAAATGCTTGTCTGTGTCACAATAATTGATTATGAATAATAATAATAATAATAATAATAATAATAATAATAATAATAATATACTAATAATAATAATAATAATAGTAATAATAATAATAATAATAATAATAATAATAATAATAATAATAATAATAATAATAATAATAATAATAATAAATGTTTATGTTACATTTTTTGTTATGTGAGTTAGATCAAATAAGCCCCGAAGCTGTCCATGAAGATGAAGAGATTCCTGAAGAGGAGGCTGTGTGCAGAATCTGTCTCGACACGTGCGAAGAAAGAAACATACTGAAGATGGAGTGCCTTTGTAAAGGGGCACTAAGGCTTGTTCATGAAGACTGTGCAATCAAGTGGTTTAGCATGAGAGGCAACAGGCTTTGTGAGGTCTGTGGTAAAGAAGTTTCCAATTTGCCCGTTACTTTACTTCGGGTGACAAACACTAATCAAAGGGATAGCAGAGATCAGAACCAGATCAATTCAATAAGGTGATTTTTCTTAACCTTATTGATGAGGAAAAAATAATAAAAGGATTAGGGTTCAGTTACTTAATTGAACTTGAGATTTGGCCATGTTATGTTACAAAGAAAAATCCAGTAATCTTTCAAGATTCAGAAACACCTCTTTAGAAAATAATTAATGAAACCTCTCAAAACAAGCGTCACTTGTGATATGAGCAAAAGTATCAGAAGATATTTGCATTTCTTCTTGTGATTAGGCGGAACTTGAATAGAACCTTTATGCAATTATGCCTGAAAATGATGATTTAAGGTTTATAAATCTGTTTTTTTCTTACCTTAATTTATGCTCGGAATTGAAATGAAGCTTATAACATTTTCTTTTGTATGCTTTTCCAGCGCCTGGCAAGATTTTGTGGTGCTCGTCTTGATTAGCACAATATGCTATTTCTTCTTCCTCGAGCAGCTACTGGTAACATATTAAGCGAACGCAAAATACTGATTAGAACTAAAGTTCCAAAGCGGTGAGAACACGAAAAATGTAAAACTACGCTCATTATGCATGTGAGAACGGTGATGAGATAACAGAAAATTTGGTAGAAAATTCTGTGCGATTTTAACACTGTCTTCATTTACACTTTTCCGATGGATAAAAACCCCAAAATCGCCGCAGCAATTGCTCCAACAAAAGAAAAAATTGCCCGATACGAGTCTACGAGTCCTTAAGACACTCTGAAATTGCTAATCCGAACATATCAAGTCCTGGATTGAAGGCCACGAAGAAATCCGCCGTCAGAAACCCTAACCTCAACCTCATCTTTGCCAGAGAAGAAGATTCGAGATAGGAATTTCGAGATCGCGAAGAGGAAACCGAACTACCAGTCGGATAAGAAGGCGGCGATTTTGGGGTTTTTACCCACTGGAAAAGTGTAAATGAAGAGTGTTAAAATCACACAGAAATTTCTACCAAATTTTCTGTTATCTCATCACCGTTCTCACATGCATAATGCGTGTCGTTTTACATTTTTCGTGTTATCATTCCCGATTATATTACAATAATAAGGAAGCATTTTCAATTTCATGCTAAAAAAAAAAAAA